CCATTGTACAGGGCAGGGGTAGGGATGCTCTGTACCACTGCACAGGAGGAGACTGGGGATCAAAATCATGAGTTGCTAAAGACAGGCAAATGGTGCAGAACAGGGACTGCATGCAGTGCATGGCTACCTCCTTCCAGGGCTTGGAGGAGTTCCTGTTTCTTCCCAGATGTTTGGGATGAGTCTAGAACCTTTCTCATGACTGCATCTGTTTTCTAGAACTCTCACGTAAAATGCAGGAGACCGGAAGCATGCACAACGCATGTATAACTCTCACAGATCTGAAGTCTAGAATTCCAAGATCCAGGTGTGCTTCTCTGTGGCCTGTCCCTGGCTGGCTTCTCCACGTGTCCTCACACCACTTTTCCTTTCCTTAAGTTTTTTTTTGTTTGTTTGTTTGTTTGTTTGTTTAAGAATTTATTATTTCAATTTTCTGTATCTGTATGGGGTGTGTGTGCATGGGACTGCAGATGCCTCCTGAGGCCAGAAGAGACTGTCAGATCTCTCTGGAGTTACAGGCCGTTGTGAGGTACCTGACATGGATGCTAGGAACCTTACTTAAGTCTTCCGTGAGAAGTGTTTGCTCTTAACAGCTGAGCCATCTCTCCAGCCCCTGCCTTTCCTTTTTACTGTCTCTGTCCTAATCATTTCCATCATGTTTGCACCCAGCCGTGCGTCCTCTGCCTTCATTCAATTCTTCTTTAAGGAGCATTTAAATGCTTTGGCCTTACCACTGAGCCTTGTACTCCTTCAGCTTTTGTTTCCTTGCCTACAAAATGGGGGGTATAAACTATCCTTACAGACTTGTACTAATTAGAATGTCTCCAACTGCAGACCTGGCACATGGTCAATGTTCTCTATTCTGGAGCCCCCAGGGGTCAGGGCTCCCAACACACATTTTGCAGAGACTAAGGAGTTTGGTTAAAGCTCTTGACCCTTCACCTGCCGTGGAATTTCCTTGGCTGTTCACATCCCTGCACTCACTGTGTACCCAAAATCTTTTTACTGTGCTGTACAAAAAGATTTTCTCTCTTTTGGAAAGGCTGGGCAAATGTCAGGATTAAGACAACTCACTCTGGAGATGAGGTATGGAAAGGATAGGTAAGACAAGGCAGCTGTCTCCAGCTGTCAATCTTCAGCAAAAGCCCTTCTTAATTTCCCTGAGGGACAGGAGGGAAAGGGTGAATGTCACTGGCAAACACAGGAAGCATTTAGAGTGGTTTTGTTACAATGGGTCCAGTGCCCACTCCCGGTCTGCAGGAAGGGGTTACATGATTTCGTCCCAGAGCCCCACAGAGGCGTGATGCGCATTGGTTCTAGATATTTCCGGTCACCCACACAGAAGAGTGACTGAGGGGTCCTGGTCGATTTTATAAATGTCTGCACCACAGCCTCCTCTTCTTCCTGTCAGACAAGAATGGTCACAGATGTCTGAGGGTGGCAGTTAAATGCTACTGGAATAAGGACATGTTGGAACCCAACAGAATGCTGAAAGAAGGAGCAGCAGACATCATACTATCTGGATTCTGGAACTTTTGAATTGGAGATAATGAAACTACATCGCAAAGGTACTCCATTTTTTTGGCTAAAATGATCAAATTAATGTAGAAGAAAAAAGAGACATGGGAACAGAAACGTGAGGCAAGTGTAAGTCATTTGGTACCTGGCATTTGGGGGTAGACAGCCGGAGAGAGGGGGAATTCAATTTCCTGGGGCCCACACATTGCTGAGTGATTGGCAGGCTAATTTTGCTCTCCACTAGGTCTGGTATGGGAAGAAAGTGAAAGTCACGAGGCTGCCAAGAACTTCTCCTTGCTTTGGCAAAAATTCTGGATTTCATCAGAAAAATCAAGAACAAGACTTGGGAAGGCCAGAATCAGAAGAAAATTTTCAGGTAGGGATCATGGTTATACATCACTCAGCATCCTTCCTGAAGTATTATTGTCTTATTTGGTCTCCAACTAAGCTTATAAAATATTAGGCTTGATGTGGCTTTGTCACCATCTAAGGGACTCAGAGAATGAAATTGCTCAAGGGCACACAATAAATTAATGCCAGATAAAGATATCTAAACCTGGCTTTAGGGATATTGCATCCATTTATACTGGGTCCTTTAGATCCCCGCTTTGAGAATGACTATGAGGTCAAGTTCAGTCATTGTGCATAGCTAAAAATGAGAAGAGTGGAGGCTGGGAATGTAATTAATTAATTACAGAAAGAAAGAATAGAGCAAAGGTAGAGTGGTTTAGACTTTTCTTTCCTGTTCTCCTGGGGCAATGTAGTCTAGATGAACATCTCAGATAGTCTGAACTTCAAACTCAGGCTTCAAGGTCAGGTGACTGGGGAGATAATTTCATTTCTAAGCTTCAATATCCTCTTTTTAGGAAGATGATGATAAACATGATGTCACAGCATTGTACATACATGTATCTATGTGTGTGTTGGCCACTAAGGGTTGACTTTAAAGAAACATAACAAAATCCTCCTTGATTAGAGTGGGCAGCCATAAGGCATGCTCTGCCAATACCCTTGTAGAGGATGGCATATTTCTTTGTTTGGTATTCTGCTAAAAGCCCCTGAACTCTGCCCACCTCAAGCTCACTGCTGCTATTGAATGCCAGAGATGCCAGACTATAATATGCTCAAACTCCATCAGGCATCTTGGTCTTTGTTCCAGGGAGGGACTTTTGCAAACAGACATCATGAAGGCCACAAAACCCGGGGTGCAAGGAAGAATGGAGAAATGTCAGTGCTGGGCCAAGAAAGATTCGCCATGCTAACCCAGGGCTCTGCAGCTGGGAAGGTGGCCAGGTTAACGAGTCACGGTAGGAAGAAGCTGGGGCATTTGGCAGCCAGGCTAGAAAGTTGAACAGTGACTGAGAAGGGTATAGAGAGATGGAGCAGATAAAACGGTTCACCTCTATCTCAGGAACTCATGAAGAGGGCATAAGTGTGATTCTAAAAAATGTCCTGGCTGCTTGTCACCTTTCAAAGACAAACCATAGCTCTTCGACCATGCATCTAAAAATAAGCAAAGTGTGTGCTTTGGGGGATGTGTATGAGAACACTACCCCTGTCTTCTTCCACAAGGGCACACTGGTGCTGAAGAAGTGTTGTTCAGAATGTAGGTGCAAATAGGATTCTATTCTCATGGTTCCGAGAATCGTAGCAGATAAAAACTATTCAAATATACCCCATGTTTTTATGCTCTGTGCAAGATTTTCCTGTAACATTAACATGTTCTCCATTATCCCATATTAATTGGAAATTCTGAGGCATTGACTTCATCTGTCATAACAAACTGTCTCTCCCAAAGCTCCTGTCTCTCAATTGACAGGACAAGCCGCAGTGTCCAGAGGAGAAGCCCTGAGTGGATGCTAACCCCTCCCCATCCATACACCTTTCACTCTGCACAAAAAAAAACTGCATGGAATTCCAAGAAGAGTTCATGCCATAGACTTATTCAATGGACAAATGTGTTAAGACTCTGATTATCCTACTAGGTCGACGACTCAATCAACTACGACCGTGGCAAAGAGGCTGCAGACACGTCTGCGGCCTCAAACCTTATCTTTTAATTGTTTTACTAGGCACAATGCCAAGGGTGGTCTGTGGCTGCCAAGTGGGGTGGGGTGGGGTAGAGCCTCAGCTTGGGCTTCCATCCAGAGAGATGGCAGCTTAAATCTCTACATTATGCAAATGCCAAAAATATTCCCAGGTGTGTCCACAGCCAGGAGAATGGAACACAGGGTCACATCGTCTTCAGAGGAAATACAGGAAAACAACAGGGTTGAGATGCAAAGGCAAGAATCACACTTTTCTCCAAACAATGGTACTTTGTCCTGTTTGG